GGGCGCCTTCCATGGCCCGTTTCCTCATATTTGTGTTTTGAGCGACGCGACTCAGGGGCCCCAAGACGGCCCAAGAGGGCACCGACACACGACCGAAAGACGGCCCCGAGAGAGCCTCAGATGGCCTCCAGAGGGTGCAAGAGAGCCTCGAGAGAGCTCCAGAGGCCCTCCAAAGGGCCCTCAAGAGGGCCTCAGGAGCCCAAAAGCATTGATCTCCCCAAGGTTTTTTTCAGGTTTTTCGGGCTCTCGCCTTTTCGGGCACAGACGGGCCCAACACGGCCCACGAGGCCCCAAAGCTCGTCCCAAGACGGCCCCAGAGGCCCCCCAAACGGGCCGAAAACGGTCCAAGAGGGCCCCCAGACGGCACAAGAGGGCCCCAAGACGGCCCAAGAGGGCACCCAAAAAGATCCCCAAGAAAGAGACCCAGAGACGCCACGTAAAAGAGCGATCGGTAACACAATAAGCTCTTCACACCAAGGCTCCCAACAGCGAACGGTGACTTGACAAACTCGTAGCACTGAGGATCCCAAGAGCAAACGGTGTCGTAAACAACTCTCAACACCAAGGCTCCCAAGAGCGGCCCAATGGCCCCAAAACGGCCCAGGAGGCCCCTTAACGGCCCAAGAGAGCACCAAGACAGGCCCAAGAGAGCGTCCTATGGTCTCCAGAGAGCCTCAAGACGGCACCAGAGGCCTTCCAGAGGGCCCCCGAGAGGGCCCCCAGGGGCAAATTACCTTGGCGACGTACCCACCCCCTGCGCAATTCGGGGCAGGAGTAGCTTGGGAGATTCGACGAGAAGGTGGCGACGTGACATGGACGCATATACTTCTGCGAGCGGCATTCGGAAGGTTCGCAGGTCCCCAGTCGAGGGGCAAACGACGAGTACTTAAGTGAACCCCTGAGTCACTAAGGAAGACGCAAGGTCCAAAAGGAGACTGTGGGCACGGGGTTTGAAACGTCGGCGGGGCAGCATCAACATGACATGGCCGCCCATGGACGGCGAGGTCCCGATCAGGTCCGCGCAGTGCCTCACTCCGGTGGACCCACCAGCGGCCTTCGAAACTGGCGAACCACAGCAGCCCTCGAAAGTGGCGACAATTTCGCAGATCGCAGCCCCCCAGGGACGGCGAAGTCTCGCTCAGGTTTGCGCGGTGCCTCACTCCGCTGGACCCATCAGCAGCCTTCGAAAGTGCGCCAGTTTCGCAGATCGCGGCCCCCCAGGGACGGCGAGGTCTCGCTCAGGTCTGCGCGGTGCCTCGCTCCGCTGGACCCACCAGCAGCCTTCGAAATTGGCGACAGATTCACAGGTCGCAGCCCCCCAGGGACGGCGAGGTCTCGCTCAGGTTTGCGCGGTGCCTCATTCCGCTGGACCCACCAGCAGCCTTCGAAAGTGGCAACAGTTTCGCAGATCGCAGCCCCCGAGGGACGGCGAGGTCTACGTCAGGTTTGTGCGGAGCCTCGCTCCGCTGGACCCACCAGCAGTCCTCGAAAGTGGCGACAGTTTCGCAGATCGCAGCCCTACGGACGGCGAGGGCTCAGGTCTGCGCGGTACCTCATTCAGCTGGACCCACCAGCAGCCCTCGAAAGTGGCGACAATTTCGCAGATCGCAGCCCCCGAGGGACGGCGAGGTCTCGCTCAGGTCTGCGCGGTGCCTCACTCCGCTGGACCCACCAGCAGACTTCGAAAGTGGTGGCAGTTTCGCAGATCGCCGCACCCCGCCCCCCAGGGACGGCGAGGTCTACCTCAGGCTTGCGCGGTGCCTCGCTCCGCTGGACCCACCAGCAGCCCTCGAAAGTGGGGACAGATTCGCAGATCGCAGCCCACCAGGGACGGCGAGGTCTACCTCAGGTCTGCGCGGTGCCCCACTCCGCTGGACCACCAGCAGGCCTCGAAAGTGGTGCCAGCTTTGTAGATCGCAACCCTCATCGACGGTGAAGAGAGGGCAGGAGGAGGGAGGAGGCGGGAGGAAGGACGCGCGAGCAGTGCTCTATTCATTACCCTGGCGACGTATCCAACCCCTGCGCAATGCGGGGCAGGAGTAGCTTGGGAGATTCGACGAGAAGGCTGCGACGTGACATGGAGGCACATACTGCTACGAGCGGCATTCGGAAGGTTCGCAGGTCCCCAGTCAAGGGGAAAACGATGAGTAACTAAGTGAACCCCTGAGTCGCTAAGGAAGACGCAAGGTCCAAAAGGAGACTGTGAGCAAGGGGCTTGAAACGCCGGCGGGACAGCAACAACATGAGATGGCCGTCCAGTCCGCACAGTGCCTCACCCCGCTGGACCCACCAGCAGCCTTCGCAACTGGCGAGCCCACCAGCAGCCCTCGAACGTGGCAATTTCGCAGATCGCAGCCCCCCAGGGACGGCGAGGCCTCGCTCAGGTCTGCGCGGTGCCTCACCCCGCTGGACCCACCAGCAGCCTTCGAAAGTGACGACAGTTTCGCAGATCGCAGCCCCCCAGGGACGGCGAGGTCTACCTCAGGTCTGCGCGGTGCCTCACTCCGCTGGACCCACCAGCAGCCCTCGAAAGTGGCGACAATTTCGCAGATCGCAGCCCCCTACAACCCTCGTCGAAATTGAACGCAAGTTTTTCCCGCCCCCGTCGCCCCCAAATTTCAATGTTCATCGACAGGCGCATCGCGTCCGGCGGGGTCCGAAGAAAATCTCGTTGTCGCTGGCGTCGGCGTGAACATTGAAATTGGGGGTCGGGGGCGCCGCCAGGTCGCGGCTAAAACTTGCGTTCAATTTCGACGAGGGGTGTAGGGACGGCGAGGTCTACCTCAGGTCTGCGCGGTGCCTCGCTCCGCTGGACCCGCCAGCAGCCCTCGAAAGTGGCAACAGCTTCGCAGATCGCAGACCCCCAGGGACGGCGAAGTCTCGCTCAGGGTTTGCGCGGTGCCTCACTCCGCTGGACCCACCAGCAGTCCTCGAAAGTGGCGACTATGTCGCAGATCGCAGCCCCCCAGGGACGGCGAGGTCTCGCTCAGGTCTGCGCGGTGCCTCACTCCGCTGGACCCACCAGCAGCCCTCGAAAGTGGCGACATTTTCGCAGATCGCCGCGCCCCCCCCTAGGGACGGCGAGGTCTCGCTCAGGTCTGCGCGGTGCCTCGCTCCGCTGGACCCACCAGCAGCCCTCGAAAGTGGTGACAGTTTCGCAGGTCGCAGACCCCCAGGGACGGTGAGGTATACCTCAGGTTTGCGCGGTGCCTCACTCCGCTGGACCCACCAGCAGCCCTCGAAAGTGGCGACAATTTCGCAGATCGCAGCCCCCCTAGGGACGGTGAGGTATACCTCAGGTTTTCGCGGTGCTTCACTCCGCTGGACCCACCAGCAGCCCTCGAAAGTGGCGACAGTTTCGCAGATCGCAGCCCCCTAGGGACGGCGAAGAGAGGGCAGCAGGAGGGAAAAGGCGGGAGGATGGACGCACGAGCAGTGATCTAGTCAAAAGAGTACCCAACCAATGAGGGGCGGGAAAAACGAATACCCAACCAAGGAGGGTTGGGAAAACCATTGATTTATCGCTGATTTTTCCAGGTTTTGGGTTCTCCCTCTTCGGGCCAGGAACTCCCTAAAACTCCCCAAGAGGCTCCAAAGATCGTCCCAAGGCGGCCCAAGAGGCTCCCGAAAGGGCCCGAAAACGGTCCAAGAGGGCTCCAAGACGGCCCCAGAGGGGCCCAAGACGGTCCCGAGAGATTCCCAAGAGAGCCCAAAGAGGCTCCCAAGAGGGCCCCACCCCCGAGAGAGCCCCAAGACGGCCAATGGCCTCCAAGACGCCCCAAGACGGCCCAAAATGGCACCAAGACGGCCCAAAATTCATTCAAAAGGGCTCCCAAAGGGTTCCAAAAGAGCCCCAAGAAGACCCCAACGAGGCCCAAGAGACGCTCAAGAACACCATGGCTCCCATCAGCGAGCGGTGACGTAACAAGCTCTTGACACCAAGGCTCCCCAGAGCGCGGTGACGTACACATCTCGTCACACCAAAGTTTCCAAGAGCCAGCGGCACCGTAACAGTCTGTGTGCACCAGGACTCCCAACGGAGACCGGCGACGCAACGAGCTCTTCACACCAATGCTCCCAAGAGCGAACGGTCCCACGAGACCTCTCGGGCAACTTCCTGAGGCGCTCTTTACGTTCCCGTGCTGGCCCAGGTGGAATGGCATTCGGCCCCTCCCGCCACCGTGCTTGGGTTGTGGGTACGAAGCCTGTTGGATGTCCGTTGGGATCTCGTAGGGGCCTCTCGGGGGCCTCTGGAAGGCAGTTTTTGGGGCCTCTTGGGGGCGGTTTTCTTGGGGCCACTGTTGGGCCTCTTGGGCCGTCTTGAAGTGTCGGAAAGCCGAACACGCGAGAACGCCACAATCCTTCAAAAGCTTGTTTCGAAAAATCAATGGTTTTTGCCTCTTGGGGCCCTCGTGGGAGGCTTCTTGGAGGCCTCTTGTGGCGTCTTGGAGGCCTCTTCGGCTATCTTGAGGCCGTCTCGAGTGTTTTGCAGCGATCTTGGGGCGACTTGGGGCCCGCTTTGACCATTTAGGGAGCCGGTTGGAGCCATCTGGGCTCGTTTGGGGGCCCTCCTGGGCGGGGTATGCCGACGCGAGCGGTTCGGGCGGACCCCGCGAATGCCCGGGAAACGATTGGTCCGGGCCTTTTCGAAATTCACAGTTCTGGCTGCAGCAGCAGCAGCACAGCCCTCTCAGTGCTGCATGAGCCCTGGGGCGGTGGCGGATATACACAGACACCCTACAGCGGATTGCTCCTAGGCCTAGCGGAAAAGCGGTGGTGTAGAAATCACCACTGAGAGCCAGCAGTACACCGCCACCCTCCCTGAAGTTACAGGCATAATTCGTCAGCGGGCGTCTGTGTATATACTTCCTCCTCCTCCCCCTCCTCCTCCTCCTCCTCCTCCTCCTCCTCCCTGAAGTTGCAGGCATAAGTATCCTCCTCCTCCTCCTCCTCCTCCTCCTCCTCCTCCTCCTCCTCCTCCTCCTCCTCCTCCCTCCTCCTCCGTACTTAGCCGTTCGGCTCCAGCCGCAACCTGCCCCGGGCATCCGAGCGAGCCTCCGCCCAGGCCCCCCACACGCCGCCCTGAGGCGCTCCCTCGGAGCCCCTGCCCGCCGAGCAGAGACCATGGCCTCGCGCGCTCTCGCCATGCTCGGCTGCACCAGCGGCGCCGCCGCCTTCGTGGCCCCCGGCGGCCCGCAGCCCGCGCCGGCGCTCCGCGCCGCCGCCACGCCGCCGCCGGCGCCGGCGGCGCCGCCCGCGGCCGCGGCGGCGGCGGGGCCCTGGGCGGCGGCGCCCCTCGCGGGCGTGGGCGCCGGGCTCGCGGCGGCGGCGGGCCGGCGCAGGGCCGCGCGCAGGGCGCGGGGCGGCGCCTTCGACCCCTCCGAGCAGGTGGGCGCCACCGCGCCCCTGGGCTACTGGGACCCCGCGGGCTTCTGCAGCGACGGCAAGGATCGGAGCGGAAGAACACGGCACTAGACCACGTCATCTTTGGGGGCGCGCCGCGCGGATTTGTCTTGGATCCGCGCTGGCCCCCCCCCCCCTCCGCGGCGCCCCTCCGGCGCCGCCCCTGGCGCGCTCCGCGCGCCAGGGTGGGTGGTCCAGCGCAGATCCAAGAACTCCGCGCGGAGCGCCAACAGTTTATGTTTGTGTCGTTTTTCTTGTTCCAAAGGAGGAGACCTTCGACGACCTGCGCGGGAAGGAGCTGAAGCACGGGCGCGTGGCCATGATGGCGATCATCGGCTTCCTGGGCACCGGCGCGGGCTGGCGCTTCCCGTGGACCGAGGGCGTGCCCGACGGGGTGGCCGCCCTGCAGAACGGCGGCGGCCCGTTCCTCGGCATCTTCTTCCTCATATTCGGGTTCTTCGAGCTGAAGATCATGGACGACCTCGAGAAGGGCAACAAGCCGGGCAACTTCGGCGACCCGTTCAAGATGGCCTCGACCGGCCTGCTGGGAGGGTACGACGAGAACTGGCGCAATTTCGAGCTGAACAACAGCCGCATGGCGATGATCGGCGTGATCGGCACCATCGTAGCCAGCGCCTACACGAACCTGGACGTTTACGCGCAGTGGCAAGGAGGCAAGGAGGCTTCCATCGCTTTCCTCAAGCTGACCCTGCCCTACTCTCCGTGAGTGCCGAGGGGCAGGCCAGCGATTTGTTCAAGGCATGGCGGCGATTTTTTTAGGCATGGCTTCACCCACACTGAGTGTTGGAGCCTTTGCCCTGAATTTTCCCCCTTCAGGCCCCATGCAACCATCCACCCCCTCTCAAGTCTCCTCCTTCTCTTCCCTGTCCTCCTCGTCCAGCTCCTGCCTCCTCCTCCTCCTCCTCCTCCTCCTCTTCCCCTCCTCTTCCTCCTCCTCCTCCTCCCTCCTCCTCCCTCCTCCTCCTCTTCCTCCTCCTCCTCCTCCTCCTCCTCCCTCCTCCTCCTCCTCCTCCTCCTCCTCCTCACTCCCTCCTCCTCCTCCTCCTCCTCCTCCTCCTCCTCCACCTCCTCCCCCTCCTCCTCCTTCTCCTCTTCTCTCCTTCTCCTCCGCCTCCTCCTCCTCCTCCTCCTCCTCCTCCTCCTCCTCCTCCTCCTCCCCTCCTCCCCCTCCTCCCCCTCCTCCCCCTCCGCCTCTCCCTCCTCCTCCCCGACCGCATGGTGGGTGGGGGGTGGGCTCTGCCCCCCCCCCCTCTCCGCGGCGCGCCGCCCCTCACAGGAGCCGCACGGAGCGGCCGCGGATTGTGACGCCACTCTCACCCCTTTGGTTACACCGGTGCGAATCGAAACGATCACCGCGTCTGAACTCGGGGGCGGCAAAGAGGGGGGTGATGACTAGGGGGGGGGGATATCGTGGCGTGGGCCATGATAACTATTCCCCCAGAGTTCATGCCGCCTCTTCTGATTTCATCGCGTCCCTGGCCCCCTTGGGCCGCGCACGTGGCGCCGGCCATAATTTGCACCCCCCCTCTTGGACGCCCCCCTCTTGGCCGCCCCCGATGAGCGCTCGTGCTTGCAAACAGCAGCAGCGCACACGTGAGAGCAAGGGTCGCGCAGCAGGAGCGCGGAGGGCAGAGAGAGAGGGAGACGGGCGAGCGGCGAGGCACGCAAGGGCATGGAGGAGCGCACAGCTGCAGGGTGATCCCGATAACTCCTTCCTCCCGCTCGTGCTCCTTGCTTCTGCTGCAGCTCCTCACTCCTCCTCACTCCTCCTCCTCCTCCTCCTCCTCCTCCTCCTCCTCCTCCTCCTCCTCCTCCTCCTCCCTCCTCCTCCGTACTTAGCCGTTTGGCTCCAGCCGCAACCTGCCCCGGGCATCCGAGCGAGCCTCCGCCCAGGCCCCCCACACGCCGCCCTGAGGCGCTCCCTCGGAGCCCCTGCCCGCCGAGCAGAGACCATGGCCTCGCGCGCTCTCGCCATGCTCGGCTGCACCAGCGGCGCCGCCGCCTTCGTGGCCCCCGGCGGCCCGCAGCCCGCGCCGGCGCTCCGCGCCGCCGCCACGCCGCCGCCGGCGCCGGCGGCGCGGCGCCGCCGCGGCCGCGGCGGCGGCGGGGCCCTGGGCGGCGGCGCCCCTCGCGGGCGTGGGCGCCGGGCTCGCGGCGGCGGCGGGCCGGCGCAGGGCCGCGCGCAGGGCGCGGGGCGGCGCCTTCGACCCCTCCGAGCAGGTGGGCGCCACCGCGCCCCTGGGCTACTGGGACCCCGCGGGCTTCTGCAGCGACGGCAAGGATCGGAGCGGAAGAACACGGCACTAGACCACGTCATCTTTGGGGGCGCGCCGCGCGGATTTGTCTTGGATCCGCGCTGGCCCCCCCCCCCCTCCGCGCGGCGGCCCCTCCGGCGCCGCCCCTGGCGCGCTCCGTCGCCGCCAGGGTGGGTGGTCCACGCAGAATCCAAGAACTCCGCGCGGAGCGCCAACCGTTTATGTTGTGTTCGTTTCCTGGTCCAAAGCGAGGAGACCTTCGCGCTCAGCAATCAGACCCTCGCCCGCGGGAAGGAGCTAAGCACGAAGAGGGCGCGTGGCCATGATGGCGATCATCGGCTTCCTGGGCACCGGCGCGGGCTGGCGCTTCCCGTGGACCGAGGGCGTGCCCGACGGGGTGGCCGCCCTGCAGAACGGCGGCGGCCCGTTCCTCGGCATCTTCTTCCTCATATTCGGGTTCTTCGAGCTGAAGATCATGGACGACCTCGAGAAGGGCAACAAGCCGGGCAACTTCGGCGACCCGTTCAAGATGGCCTCGACCGGCCTGCTGGGAGGGTACGACGAGAACTGGCGCAATTTCGAGCTGAACAACAGCCGCATGGCGATGATCGGCGTGATCGGCACCATCGTAGCCAGCGCCTACACGAACCTGGACGTTTACGCGCAGTGGCAAGGAGGCAAGGAGGCTTCCATCGCTTTCCTCAAGCTGACCCTGCCCTACTCTCCGTGAGTGCCGAGGGGCAGGCCAGCGATTTGTTCAAGGCATGGCGGCGATTTTTTTAGGCATGGCTTCACCCACACTGAGTGTTGGAGCCTTTGCCCTGAATTTTCCCCCTTCAGGCCCCATGCAACCATCCACCCCCTCTCAAGTCTCCTCCTTCTCTTCCCTGTCCTCCTCGTCCAGCTCCTGCCTCCTCCTCCTCCTCCTCCTCCTCCTCTCCTCCTCCTCCTCTTCGCCCTCCTCCTCCTCCTCCCTCCTCCTCCCTCCTCCTCCTCTCCTCCTCCTCTCCTCCTCCTCCTCACTCCTGCTCCTCCTCCTTCCTCCTCTCTCCTCCTCCCTCCTCTCCTCCTCCTCCTCCTCCTCCTCCTCCTCCTCCCACCTCCTCCCCCTCCTCCTCCTTCTTCCTCCTCCTACCTCCTCCTCTACCTCCTCCTCCTTCTCCCTCCTGCTCCTCCTCTCCCCTCCTCCCTCCTCCTCCTCCGCCTCCTATCACTCCTCCCCCTCCTCCCCCTCCTCCCCCTCCTCCCCCTCCGCCTCTCCCTCCTCCTCCCCGACCGCATGGTGGGTGGGGGGTGGGCTCTGCCCCCCCCCCCTCTCCGCGGCGCGCCGCCCCTCACAGGAGCCGCACGGAGCGGCCGCGGATTGTGACGCCACTCTCACCCCTTTGGTTACACCGGTGCGAATCGAAACGATCACCGCGTCTGAACTCGGGGGCGGCAAAGAGGGGGGTGATGACTAGGGGGGGGGGATATCGTGGCGTGGGCCATGATAACTATTCCCCCAGAGTTCATGCCGCCTCTTCTGATTTCATCGCGTCCCTGGCCCCCTTGGGCCGCGCACGTGGCGCCGGCCATAATTTGCACCCCCCCTCTTGGACGCCCCCCTCTTGGCCGCCCCCGATGAGCGCTCGTGCTTGCAAACAGCAGCAGCGCACACGTGAGAGCAAGGGTCGCGCAGCAGGAGCGCGGAGGGCAGAGAGAGAGGGAGACGGGCGAGCGGCGAGGCACGCAAGGGCATGGAGGAGCGCACAGCTGCAGGGTGATCCCGATAACTCCTTCCTCCCGCTCGTGCTCCTTGCTTCTGCTGCAGCTCCTCACTCCTCCTCACTCCTCCTCCTCCTCCTCCTCCTC